TTAATCGTAGAAACTAAAAATGTAATAATATACAGGGTGTTCCATTTAAAAAAAATACAACTTTAATATTTTTTATTTATTTGGGACACTCTGTATTTTGTAAAAATATTTTTAAATTATAGCTCTAATAGTCCTTCAACGAACCCAAAACTTACAATTTGTAAAAATCTAATCATTTAGCTACAATACTCCGTGTCGTATGTTATGAACAACCCTGTATATGCTACCAAAATTTTATTTTGATATAAACAACCGCTCTCCTTGGAGCCTCAGCGTCGTATGAGAGGCTCCACCCTGTATAATACATTTGAACAATATTCATAATTTAAGAATCTATGATAACCATAATATATTTTTTAATCTAAAACTAAAAAAACAAATTTATTAACAAATTTTAAATTAAAACACAAACAATATTAAGTATAATCGAGTGTAAATATTATTTTACGTTAAAGATAACACATGTCATATAAAGTTCAATGGTCTCCATAATGCACTTTACTGCTTTTGGAATGTTAGTTTCCATGAAAATATATAGGTCGAATATGACTGACGGATTTTATACGTTAGTATGAATTAATATGTTAATATAAATGAAAAATAGTTTGTTGGAAAACAATTTTATTCGTTAGCGTCCAGCCGATGACAAAACCCGAAGTGTATCGCTCAATTATCGACCTACCAGCAAGTGATGGATATTAATTATGACTGACTGAGAAAACGGACTTTTAAAATTTCTGGGTTGCTGTTTCGATGATTTAGCTTTCCAGCTTTATGTTGCTTGTTTTCTACCAACATTATATTTATTCGACAATCGTTTGACGTTACGTCACCATTGTTTATCTTATAGGTTTGGTGTATTTCAGTATATTCTTAAAATTTTGCCAGAAACGGCTCGGTACGACAGAAATCAGAACTTTCCGGCTCTGAATTTTACGCAGTCTCGGTTATTGTTCATATTGATCGCATTCAAATAATACTAAAATCGTGGTTTTGTCATAATAACTAAGTATTTGAGTTTTTACTAGTGCAGTTATCTATACTAATACATCAAATCCTTAAGTGACTGACTTACTGATTAATCACGATCCTGCTCAAACCACTCAACGTAAGAAGCTCAATTTTGTCATACAGGTTGATTGTAGGGTGTAGAGGTTCGATTAGAAGGGATTTTTCGAAATTCCAGTTCCAAGAGGGGGTTCCAGGAGGGGTGAAACCACCCCTCAATTATTACAATATTTTTTATTTAAAAAACGGTCAAGTTTCCGAAAATACGCTTAAGCACGTAGGTATATTTTATTTTGCTTTTTTACATATTTTAAGATTTTTTAAAAATGTATACATGGTGTTTCGAAAAATCTGGTCATTGATTAATCACGATCCTGCTTAAAACGCTTGACGTAAAAAAGCTGATTTTTGGAAAACGGATTGACTTTAGGGTGTAGAGGTTCGATAGGAAGGGATTTTTCGAAATTCCAGTTTCAGGAGGGGGTTCCAGGAGGGGGTGCCCGGAGGGGGTTTCAGGAGGGGGTTCCAGGAGGGTGTTCCAGGAGGGTGAAACCACCCTCAATTATTACAATATTTTTATTTAAAAACGGTCAAGTTTCCGAAAATACGCTTAAGCACGTAGGTATATTTTATTTTGCTTTTTTACATATTTTAAAATTTTTTAAAAATGTATACATGGTGTTTCGAAAAATCTGGTCATTGATTAATCACGATCCTGCTTAAAACGCTTGACGTAAAAAAGCTGATTTTTGGAAAACGGATTGACTTTAGGGTGTAGAGGTTCGATAAGAATGGATTTTTCGAAATTCCAGTTCCAGGAGGGGGTTCCAGGAGGGGGTGCTCGGAGGGGGTTTCAGGAGGGGGTTCCAGGAGGGTGTTCCAGGAGGGGTGAAACCACCCCTCAATTATTACAATATTTTTTATTTAAAAAACGGTCAAGTTTCCGAAAATACGCTTAAGCACGTAGGTATATTTTATTTTGCTTTTTTACATATTTTAAGATTTTTTAAAAATGTATACATGGTGTTTCGAAAAATCTGGTCATTGATTAATCACGATCCTGCTTAAAACGCTTGACGTAAAAAGCTGATTTTTGGAAAACGGATTGACTTTAGGGTGTAGAGGTTCGATAAGAAGGGGTTTTTTGAAACTCGAATTCTAAGGGGGTAAAACCACCCCTCAAATATTAGAATATTTTTTATTTATAAACCGCTGAGTTTTTTGGAAAAAAAACTCTTAAACACGTATATTTCATTTTGTTGTTTTACATATTTTAAATTTTTTTAATTGAGTAATCACGATTCTGCTTAAACTGCTAGACGTTTAAAGCTGATTTTTGGCAAACGGATTGACTGCGGGTGTAGAGATACGATAAGGACGGGTTTCTCGAATCTCAAATTCCAAGACGGTGAAAACGCCCCTCAAATATTACAATATTTGTTATTTAAAAACGGTTAGTCTTTCGGGAAAACGCTTGGACACGGATAATTTATTTTGTTTTTTTACATATTTTGAAATTTTTTAAAAAATCATGCAGGGTATTCCATAAAGTTGGGTAAGTCAAGTGCTTGACGTAAAAAGCTTATTTTTGGCAAACAGATTCTTCTAAGGAGGTGAAAATGATTTTTATCTTTCATATTTAGTAACTGCCAAAATATAATAATATCGCCATATTGTTTTTTCTCATGCTGATATAAATGTAAGAAAACTTTATCCGGTTTGTATGTGAATGGAAATTCTTGCTTTGCTTTATCATCGCCATTACAAATGATTAATTCGACGCGAACGAAGTCGCGGCTAGTTGAAACTATAAAATTCTCTGGTATAAAGTTAGTGTCTCTGGTAGGAAGTAACGATGTTTCGAGTAGTAAAAATTAAGTGAGAAAGAAAAAAGAACCTAAAATAGGTGACACGTTATATTGTGGCAATTTCAAAGGATAATAAAATTGCCGAAAAAAAATCAACACGAAGAGGATAGTATAATTGCGTGGTTGTTGGTTGAAATAACACTCATTACAGCTCTCTCGGAACAACATTTTACAACTTCTCAGCTTTATCGCACCGATTTGATCGAAAGCAAATATGGATTCAGGCAGTTTGACGAAAAAAGTGAGTAAATAAAATGCATAATCAAAAAATTTAATAGGTACATACTATAAAGATAAAATATAATTTCATCAGTGACAATATCAGCATGGCTGATATTGTCACGCTTGGTCAGTACCAACCAAGTGCTTATTTGAAAAGTAAATTTGTAAATAATGGTTGACTTTTAATCATCTGCTGATGATGCTAATATAGTTAACATTAAGAGTAAGTAAAGTGTTAAAATTTACTGGTTTAAATTATGATTTCTTTTCAGGTTGAAAAACAATTGGCAAAACCATCCAATCTTTATTATTTGATATAGAGCTATATATAACATAATAAATAATTTCATAAAATGTCTTGTAGGAAACAGTAAAAGGTCACAGATAATTGAATGATATGTGACAACAAAAGTATCCTGTCACCTAAAAATAAAACAGTCAATATGGGAAGTAGTTAACAGTAATAGACCGAGAGTTAGCTACATAAAAAACCTTATCATCGTTACATGGCTAATTTTTTGTGTGAAGTATCCTTTTGTGTAGCCATTGTGAAATAGTCATGTCTGCCAGCGCGATCCCGGGGCTTAAAGCGGGGGCGGCCAATCGAAAGGGTTAAATTTTAACACTAAAAATATTATAAGGTACACGAGTTATAATTGCCAAATCGCTTATATTTATTATTAGGAAACGTGTAAAATTGTTGGCAGACATTTTTCTCGTGGCTGAAATGCCGGCAGACCACGCGACAGAGGCATAGACTTTTGACAAAAGAAAATCATCGCATACATGCATGTCGATTGGTGGAATGTCATGTTTATTGTTAATTAATTTAAAAAGCCGTATGCAAAAGAGAAGACAAAAAAAATTATTATTGAAATAATAAAAAAAATATATTTATAATATAATCGTATATTATGATTTATCTATAATTAAATGGATGACGGGGCGAGCGTTCGGTTCCCTGAAAGCGCTAGAGTAATATCGCGCTTTTGATAACCGTCTGCAGCTGATTGAGCCACGATCTTTTTCTCTGCCCTTTTGCATACGGCTTTTAAAATAAATAAATATGACATTTCACCAATAGGCATGCAAATATGCCATAATTTTTTTCATTCTTCAAATTTCATTTTTTAATAATTTTTAATATTTCATGCCTCTTTCGCGTTGTCTGTCGGCATTTTAGCGACTGGAAAAATGTCTGCCAACAATTTTCCACGTTTCTTAATAATACATAGAAGCTATTTTCGCAATTATAACTCATGTATCTTATAATATTTTTAGTGTCAAAATTTCACCCTTTCGATTGGCCGCCTCCACTTTAAGCCCCGGGATCGCGCTGGCAGATATGTCTATTTCATAATAGCTACATAAAAGGATACTTCACACAAAAAATTAGCCATGCAACGATGATAGGGTTTTTTATGTAGCCAGCTCTTAGACTATAAGTTTATTTTCTTTACAACCACATATGTAATACAAACATTACTGACTTTTAAAAAATTTGAAAGTGTCAAATTATCTACATTTCTTCCTTCTTCCCCCCATTTCCCTCACCCATTTCCCTCACCCATTTCCCTAACTCGGTTTTTCTTATTTCTCGCCTCATTTAATAAAAAAAGCAAAATATTCTTGTAATATCTCTATTAAATACTTATCTAACAGCAATAAAAATAAACAAGAAAATTAACAATAATTATTGAAGATTTTAATGCATTTATTTGTTGAAGGTAAAAATGCTAGACTTCTTTGGCTTAAAACCTACATTCTGGCGTTTAAAAAAAGCGACGAGTTTTTGATATTTTGATATGTCAGTCTTTTCCCTTAATTCTAGCATTGTCCGTATCATGCTGTTGTACGTAGCCCAAAGAAAATTTTGACTATACATTTCTAAGTACAACTTACCGACAACTTGTAAGTAGCCTTGCCTAGATCTCATGGGATCAGTGTTGACTTGACACATGTACCATCCCCTGTCCACCTCTTGGACATTCTTGATATGTAGATACCACGAACGGTGATCGTTGTACGACAGTGATATTCGTGGATTCTGCGTGATTACGTTGTGATGAATAGATAGGATGGTTTGGGTATCGACTCGTACCCAGGCAACCTGAAAAAAAAAAACAAAATATATTTTTATTTGTTACAGTCACAATTTATTATACAGAATTTTACACTAGCGACAGCGGTGTGTTTCTATAAACAGCTAGAAAAGTTTTTTTTACTAGTGAATCATCAATTCGGCGAGTTTAAAACGGTTATACAGGGTGATTCATGGCCATGGCATGGCGTTTATGGAGAAGCAGTGATAGGATTTTTTTTTAAATTTGGATTTTTGCATAAAGACAGCCGCTCCATCTGCTATTATTTTCAGCGTTACTGTGTTGCAGCTTCATACTGAAAATAGTAGTGTATTTGGTATTTTAAATGGAATATTTAGTGTATTATTACATTTTTTGATACTACTTTCATATCTCACAATTTTTCTCTATTATATTAACCTACTCAAATATCTCATAATAAAACATGCGTAAAATTGACCAAAACATGTTCTTGAATGCAGGAAGTTTCTTGATATTTTAAAGTATGAAATAGTTCTTTTTTGTAGATTTTGTGGTTTTGGTCCCCTTGTTTAACCCTCTTGTTTGTTTTGTATTCCCACACCCTGATTTTATTTTTCTTTAATAAAATAACTACAGTAGATTTTTGAGTTTTATACAGTTTTTTTCATAATATTTTGAATTAATCATTTGTCACTATTTTTTTTAAATATATTACATTCCTGCTTTCCAATTGTACCAATTGTACCAACTTATTTCTTTGTAAAATAAAATTACTTTGAAATTAAAATGACAGGCACATCTCGACTATCGCTGTCAAGGATTTTGTCGTTGGGGAAAAATGATTTGGTAAAATTTTCATGTATCTTAAAGTTTTATATATTATGTTCCAGTGGACCGATATGGAGTCTCACACAGTGTCCACATCACCCAGGTATTGCGTTTTTCTTTCCTTAATGGTGTTCAGTATCTCTTTTTGTTTCTGCATGCGCTGGAGTACTTCATCGTTGGTGATCCTTTCTACCATGAGATTCGCAGCATCCGTCTGTACACATACATTTCGAAGGATTTTATTCTCTTTTCGGTCTGTGAATTTAGTGTCCAGCTCTCACATCCATAGAGTAACACAAAGAAGACGTAGCATCTGGTCTTTTGAGGTCTGAGTTCCGCACTAAGGTTACACAATATATAAAGCTTTAAAATACGTGAAAATTTTAATGTGCCCGTTTTTCGTGTCGGTTAGTGTATGTAAAATAAAATAACTTTAAAACTTTGAATATTACCTTCAACCATAACAATCCCAGTTTTCGCATCTTCCCTAGCCAACCTTATTTAATACTGGTTTATATTATCCTCGGGTCTAGAGGTCGTTAGAATTATATTTCGCTTACATTGTCCAAAATGGACGTCCGGTATCGCGGTATTTGCCGCTGTTTGCACACTGGGGCATCGTAAACATAAAGGGAATGAATATAAACCCTTCCTGATTAAATGGGTTCATAATGGAGGAAACAGTTGTAACACGTCGCTGTTTATATAGAATTAGAGTAGCTCTAAAGCAACACGTTAAAACAAGCTTTTAATAGTTGGCGAGCCGAGCGGTATAGCCCAACGGTCTGTGCTGCGGCCAAAATAAATTCCGTACTATTTAAATGATAATATTCGCTTTGTGTAATGATTTGATAAATTAAGACATGAAGTATTTTAGGCCCTATCGAATTAATCTACGCAGAAGAACTTGATAAAACTATTATTGTAATCGCTAAACATTTTCCGATGCACGTCATCAATCGTATTTATATATTGACATTAAAAATTGAAAAAATAAACACTACTTACTTCTGTTACTCTCACGACAAACGTCGTATCTTGGTTATAAATTAATTAATATAATTAAATTAGTTGCTTTATCAAAGTATAACTACCACTAGCGCTACGAGAAGGGCAGATCTCTTGTTACAATCCGCCCCTCTATTTTCATTCAATTCTCCAAAGGTCGCAACTGGAGCAATGTGTGAACAGATAGGGCCACTCTCTAATCTCACTACGCGGCCCAAACAAGAATTGAGTCCTGATTAAAATGGAGCAGACCGGATCTGGAGAAGGTTCATTTATATAGACGACACGGAATACAATGAACTGGTGTAAGTGTATTATTGTTTTGAAACTAGTTAAAACTAATATCACTGCTACACTGGTTTTAATTGTTTTTGTTATTAATTATTCGAATATAGTAGATTTCTTTAGTAGATATTAAAAACATTAAATATATATAACGATTTTACTAAAGTTATTAAAAAATCACTTATATCCTTTGCCATATTTATCTGATATACCCTTTTTGTGTAGATTTAATTTTTAATATATATAATAAATAAATTTTTCTTGAAATTGGCTTTAATAAACTAATACAAGTAAAATTTGACTACGTTGTACATGACTACGATCTATAGTTGCCTGTGCAAAAGATTTATTTATATTCGATTGTATTAAAAAACCTCTTTTAGTATCGTTTAGAGACTCTGGGAACTTTTATTAAGACTTTTACATCGGTAAAACCTACTATAGGTCCTAATATCCCATGAATGCTCTAAAATCTTAAAGTATATACTTTTAGTAAGTCTCTTAATAATTATTTTCGAGATATAGGTATATATATTTTCCAAATTAATTTCATTCTTAAGAAGCACTTTTAACATTTTACAAAATTTTGATATTTGAATACGTTATTAAAATAACACAGAATTAATATTTGCACGTGTTTCTAGTTCAACGCAAGTCAAAACAAATACTACTTACTTCTGTTACTCTCACGACAAACATCTGATCTTCGTTAGAAATTAATTAATATAATTAAATTAGTCGCTTTATCAAAGTTTAACTACCACTAGCGCTACGAAAAGGGCAGGTGAATGTCTCTTGTTACAATCCGCCCCTCTATTTTCATTCAATTCTCCAAAGGTCGCAACTGGAGCAATGTGTGAACAGATAGGGCCACTCTCTAATCTTACTACGCGGCCCAAACGAGAATTGAGTCCTAATTAGAATGGAGCCGACCGGATCTGGAGAAGATTCATTTCTAAAGACGACACAAAATACAATGGACCGGTGTAAGTTTATTATTGTTTCGAGACTAGTTAAAACTAATATAATTGCTATACTGGTTTTAATTGGTTTTTGATATTAATTATTCGAATATAGTAGATTTTTTTAGTAGATATTAAGAACATTAAATACATAAAATAACGATTTTACTAAAGTTATTAAAAAATCACTAATATCCTTTGCCATATTTATCTGATATACCCTTTTTGTGTATATTTAATTTTTAATATATATAATAAATAAGTTTTTCTTGAAATTGGCTTTAATAAACTAATACAAGTAAAATTTGACTACGTTGTACATGACTACGATCTATAGTTGCCTGTGCAAAAGATTTATTTATATTCGATTGTATTAAAAAACCTCTTTTAGTATCGTTTAGAGACTCTGGGAACTTTTATTAAAACTTTTACATCGGTAAAACCTACTATAGGTCCTAATATCCCATGAATGCTCTAAAATCTTATAGTATATACTTTTAGTAAGTCTCTTAATAATTATTTTCGAGATATAGGTATATATATTTTCCAAATTAATTTCATTCTTAAGAAGCACTTTTAACATTTTACAAAATTTTGATATTTGAATACGTCATTAAAATAACACAGAATTAATATTTGCTCGTGTTTCTAGTTCAACGCAAGTCAAAACAAATACTACTTACTTCTGTTACTCTCACGACAAACATCTGATCTTCGTTAGAAATTAATTAATATAATTAAATTAGTCACTTTGTCAAAGTGTAACTACCACTAGCGCTACGAGAAGGGCAGATTAATGTCTCTTGTTAAAATCCGCCCCTCTATTTTCATTCAATTCTCCAAAGGTCGCAACTGGAGCAATGTGTGAACAGATAGGGCCACTCTCTAATCTCACTACGCAGCTCAAACGAGAATTGAGTCCTAATTAGAATGGAGCCGACCGGATCTGGAGAAGATTCATTTCTAAAGACGACACGAAATACAATGGACCGGTGTAAGTTTATTATTGTTTCGAGACTAGTTAAAACTAATATAATTGCTATACTGGTTTTAATTGGTTTTTGATATTAATTATTCGAATATAGTAGATTTTTTTAGTAGATATTAAGAACATTATATACATAAATCAACGATTTTACTAAAGTTATTAAAAAATCACTAATATCCTTTGCCATATTTATCTGATATACCCTTTTTGTGTAGATTTAATTTTTAATATATATAATAAATAAGTTTTTCTTGAAATTGGCTTTAATAAACTAATACAAGTAAAATTTGACTACGCTGTACATGACTACGATCTATAGTTGCCTGTGCAAAAGATTTATTTATATTCGATTGTATTAAAAAACCTCTTTTAGTATCGTTTAGATACTCTGGGAACTTTTATTAAGACTTTTACATCGGTAAAACCTACTATAGGTCCTAATATCCCATGAATGCTCTAAAATATTAAAGTATATACTTTTAGTAAGTCTCTTAATAATTATTTTCGAAATATAGGTATATATATTTTCCAAATTAATTTCATTCTTAAGAAGCACTTTTAACATTTTACAAAATTTTGATATTTGAATACGTCATTAAAATAACACAGAATTAATATTTGCACGTGTTTCTAGTTCAACGCAAGTCAAAACAAATACTACTTACTTCTGTTACTCTCACGACAAACATCTGATCTTCGTTAGAAATTAATTAATATAATTAAATTAGTCGCTTTATCAAAGTTTAACTACCACTAGCGCTACGAGAAGGGCAGGTGAATGTCTCTTGTTACAATCCGCCCCTCTATATTCATTCAATTCTCCAAAGGTCGCAACTGGACCAATGTGCGAACAGATAGGGCCACTCTCTAATCTCACTACGCGGCCCAAACGAGAATTGAGTCCTAATTAGAATGGAGCCGACCGGATCTGGAGAAGATTCATTTCTAAAGACGACACGAAATACAATTGACCGGT